TTTTTTTTTTCAACTGTACAACAAAATCGTTTATTATTTTGGCACCCACTCTTTTTTTCAATAACACGAAGACTCTTGGCTAGTATAGAAAACATTTCACCATTAATATATGAAAGTTCATATTGTGGAATTGAGAATATTAAATATGATAGAATTGAAAGCAATAATGATTTAAGATTTGAAAAGGATATAGAAGGTGAACTTGGTTTCAAACATAAAAAGGATACTGAAGATGGACCTGCAATTGAACATGAAAAGGATACTGAAGATGGACCTAGTATTGAACCTGAAGATGGACCTAGTATTGAACTTGAAGAGGATATTGATATTATTAGTGAATCAGATAATACCTTTAAAAATACAGATAATTATCAACATGGGCATCTACCTCCAATCTGCATTGAGATCTATTGTGGAAAACCTTTGGAACTTGGAAAGAATATCAGAAGACATTAGAACGTTACACACATCAAAATAATTTTGCGATTAGAAAAAAACAAGTAGATAATAGCCATGATCCACGACAGCGTACCTGAGACTGTAAACAGTCTGATAAATATATCTCACGTAAAACTGCTCTATCCAAAAAGCAAAGAAATAAAGATTCAAAAAGGATTGGTTGACCTTTTCTGGTAAATGCGTACAAGAGTAAGAGCCCTAATAATGAAACTATAATTAAATTGACATCGATGCATCCTGAACACAACCATCAGTTGATTCCTGAAAATGCTAGCTTTGCTACTAGCTATTGGAAACTTACCACAGATATGAAGGAGCTTATTAAAAGTTATACAATTTGTGACATTGACGTCTCATCCCAGGTTCGGTTATTCTGTGGGTTATTTCTTGATGCTACAATTGTGGACTATGATGTGAAAAACTACATGTATAAGGTTCGTTGTACTCATGATATACAGGGGTGTGATACCGCAAAGCTTTCTAACACTTTGAAAAAGAACGTACCAAGAATCCTGATTGGTATGTTTAATCATTAATTGATCCAGAAACAAATAGATTACAAGGTATATTCTATATGACCCCTGAACAATGAGAACTTTGGCGACGTTATGCAGATATCATTTTAAATGATAATACAGCAGCGACCAATATCTATAAACTGCCATTAAGCATTTTTGCTGTTGTAGATAATAATTTCAAATCACGAATTGTTGCACAGGTAATATTGCCCAATGAAACAAGTGAAAGTTATAAATGGATTCTACAGCAAACAATTGAAGCTACAGGAGTTCAGCCTGGAGCTTTTATGATTGATGCAGATCCAGGCCTTGAAAGTGTTGTTCCTAAAATATACCCTGATATCTACCTTTTCCATTGTATTTGGCACATTGGGCGTAATATTGAAAAGCAGCTTGCAAAGCTTCTTGGTGATCGTTATGCAGACTTTATCAAAGCA